CGTTCACGTGTCAATCCTATTTATCTTCCAGTTATGAGAAGTTTACGTTCACGTGTCAATCCTATTTATCTTCCATTTTTCTCTTGCTATGTTTTTTTTATATTTTGGTTATTACTCGGTATAAATATTTATTTTGAATTTTATTCTCATTTCGTTTGTTTGTTTTGACCTGAAATTTAGAAAATATTTAAGTTTTAAATTAATTAAACAGATAAATACTTAGGTTAAGATTTGCACTTTATGCACAATAAGTATTTTATATTTATTATTTATTTTATATTTTTCTGCATATTATAAATAATATAATAATAAATATATATATATTAAATAACTAAGAAATCAATTACTATTATGTAACAAATTGGCGTATGCATATAAATTTAACTATTACTCTTGTTTATTCACAATTAGGGTAAATAAATCAAAATAATCAATCTTATATATTGTATATGATATATAATTAAATTTAAATGATATAAACATAGTAATATAGCACACTTTTANACAAATTGGCGTATGCATATAAATTTAACTATTACTCTTGTTTATTCACAATTAGGGTAAATAAATCAAAATAATCAATCTTATATATTGTATATGATATATAATTAAATTTAAATGATATAAACATAGTAATATAGCACACTTTTAATATGGATATTTATTAAATGAGGTTTCTACTCATATGATTTTATGATTATTTACATATTTGTGTAACAAAACTTTACACCAATGATTTATAAATTACGTTATGATTATTTTAATTTAAGTATTTTCTATTTTACATATACACTTCCATAAATTAAAAAGGAATGAAGTTATTATAGTTAATATATGCAAATCGTTATCAAATCGTATATTTTCGTTTTCTTCCATTACATGCGTGCGATATATATAAATATATAAACTATGTTACATGCGTTATATATGTCTCTAATTATTTTTCCCTAGCAAATTTCAATTGAACCTAAAGCCCCCACGTCATTTTAATTGATATGCTAATTGATTGACAACTAAGCAAGATTACTTTTTAATTAATACAAACTTGAGGTTACATTTTTTCAAATGTTTCTCAATTAATATATAGGGGATACTAAAACCTCCAAAACTGTTTATAAATTCAATATATCAAACAATTTAACATTAACAACATTTTTTCTTTGCATATTTTTCCTCATAATTCATCGAGGGAACATTAACACGCACTAGTCTGAACGTTGTCTTCTCTCTTTCTCTTTCTCTTTCGCCTAATCAAAATCTGTTTCTTTAACAGAGAAAAATGGTTCTTCCCGCACAAAGAACCGTCTGGGACGAAAGAGTAATCGAGCTCACGAAAATGGCTCAAGAACAGTGCCTCGACGCTCATCTCTGGGCTTCCCATTTATCTTCCACCTTAAAACCCTTCGTCAAGTTCCCGTCTACAGAGCTCGCAGAGATACTCGTCTCCTACATTTGCTGGGATAACAGTGTCCCTATCCTCTGGAAGTTTCTTGAAAAAGCTATGGCTTTAAGCCTCGTCTCTCCTCTCGTTGTTCTTGCTCTGCTCGCTCAAAGGTAAATGGATCTTTTTAGAGTCTTTTAGGTGCGTAAAGGTTGAATCTTTATTGTAATGTTCATTGTTTTTTTTTTTGCAGAGTTGTTCCAAACCGGGGTTCTCAATCAGAGGCTTATAGAATTTACTTGGAGCTTCTCAAGAGATATGTTTTCAGGGTTAAAGATCATATTAAAGGACCTCACTACCACAAGTGAGTCTTGTTTGTTTGATACTTGCTTACTACTGTTTCATTAATATGTTTACCTTGAAAGATACATGCTTTAATGTTTGGCTCATTACTCTGAAGAAGTAGAAATTAACTTATCTTAGTTGTGTAGTCAGTTACTTCTATTTTTTTTTTGTGATTTATCTTATCTTTGTACAGTGTGATGAATTCAGTAGCCAACATTCTTGGTCTTCCGGAGTTATTTCCTATGGAAACAAGCAAACCTGGTGTACTTGTAGTAGAGTTCGTTTTCAAGATGGTGTCTCAGCTGCTAGATGCATGCTTAAGTGATGAAGGTTTAATAAAGCTAAGTCAAGAAATGGAAATTGATGCTCCTGAGATGTATAAAGAAAAGACCGGATCTCACGAGAAGTTACAGACTTTAAACACTATTATGGCTATCGAGATGATAGCAGAGTTCCTCAGAAATATCGTGATCTCCAGATTGCTATACTTGGTCTCCTCCAACAGGTTTGCATAACTGTTATATCTCCACAATTTATCTGCTATGTTGAACCTTGGATTAGTCATTTAAAGCATGCGAATAAATTGGATTAGTCTTTGTAGGGCTTCAAATTGGCATGAATTTGTTAGGAGAGTGGAGTTGCTTGCAGAAAGCTCATCAGCCTTAAAAAGTTCTAAGGTTCTGAATTCTGGGGAACTATTGGAGTTGGTTTCAGATAAACGATTTGGATACTCTTGTGATAGCAAAGTGGTTTCATCAACCAAATCCAATGCAATTGTGGATTTTGGATCTCTTGCTTCCTTTGCTGGGTTATGCCATGGAGCAAGTCCCTCTTCACTCTGGCTTCCTCTTGATCTGGTGTTTGAAGATGCTATGGATGGTTATCAAGTAAACCCAACAAGTGCTATTGAAATCATTACCGGTAATATACAGACTCTCATCTTGCTTCCTTTGTGGCTTTAACTAAATATCCCAAACTTATACTGAGATGAATCACTCAAGGAAACCAAAATTTCAGGTGTAGCTAAAACACTTAAAGGAGTTAACGGGAGCACTTGGCATGACACCTTCTTGGGTATTTGGATAGCAGCTCTTCGACTTGTTCAAAGGGTTAGACTACTAATCTCTTACTGTTTGGTTTCATCACTACTTGGTCACCAAATTTTACATACACTGTTAGGTCCTGAGTTAACTAGGCTAAAGTAAAATCTGCTTATTTGGTTAGTAATCTGCCATCATGATTAGTCTGTCTCTTCTGATATACTTGTCTTTCTTTATTGCTAGGAAAGGGATCCTATTGAAGGACCTATTCCTAGACTGGACACAAGGCTATGCATGTCATTATGTATTGTACCTCTTGTGGTTGCGAACCTTATCGAAGAAGGAGAGGATGAATCTGTCATGAAAAAGCTACGAGATGATCTTATCACAAGTTTGCAGGTTCTTGGTGAATTCCCTGGGTTGCTGGCTCCTCCCCAATGCGTTGTTTCTGCTGCGAACAAGGCTGCCACCAAGGCAATCATGTTTTTGTCTGGTGGCGATGTTGGGAAGTCATGTTCTGATGTCATAAACCAATTTTTTTTTGGTGAGTTAATGAAAATTCTCCGTTAAACCAATTTTTATTTTTATTTTTGTGTGCTTTAGAACTAACGCCTAACAAATTTATGTACATGTTGTAGCTGGAAACATGCGCCACCTGATAGTTGAGGCTTGTGTCGCAAGAAACATACTGGATACCTCGGCCTACTCGTGGCCTGGTTATGTTAATGGACGAATCAACCAAATACCTCAGAGTCTGTCGAGTGCAGTTCCATGCTGGTCGTCATTTGTGAAAGGAGCCCCACTAAATGCTGCAATGGTGAAAGCATTGGTTTCAGTTCCTGCTTCAAGGTAGAATAAATTCTTATTTTCTTCCATGCAAATCATGACTAATATGAAAAATTGTTAGATGCCGAGTAACAAAATCATTAGTTCTCTTAAACCAAATCGCCTCAGTGAGAAGAGTGGTTGCATTCTAGTTTAATATAAGTTTTGCCTCTTGTTCAGTTATTACTTTTTGTTTCTTAGCCAGGTAGAGTCAGATGCTCTACTTTAATTTACCGAGAGTAAAGCAACTGAAATTTAAGCTCATGGGTTTGATGGAAGCTTATTAGAGCTGGAGAAACTATATGAGGTCGCAGTCAAAGGATCAGATGACGAGAAGATATCTGCGGCTACAGTGCTTTGTGGGGCATCTCTCACACGGGGTTGGAACATTCAGGTTGGCATTTACATCCACCTATTAATGTTCTTTTGAGTTTACTTCTTGGAAACACAAGGTTGCTTCATCTGTTTTTCTTCTTCAAAATGTACAGGAACACACTGTTGAATATCTTACAAGATTACTATCCCCACCCGTTCCAGCAGATTATTCCGGGGTTGAAAGTCATTTAACTGGATATGCGTGCATGCTGAATGTTGTTACTGTTGGGATAGGATCTGTTGACAGCATTCAGATTTTCTCTTTGCATGGCATGGTATGTAAACTGTTGTTCAAGTTTCTTTGAACTGATACCAAGTTTGCCGCTAGATATGTAATATGTGGCTTTGATGAATACTCTTTTAGGTTCCGCAACTTGCTTGCTCACTAATGCCAATCTGTGAAGTGTTTGGATCTTACACCCCAAGTGTATCTTGGACTCATCCTTCTGGAGAAGAAATCTCAGCATATTCTGTTTTCTCGAATGCTTTCACCCTTCTTTTAAAGCTTTGGAGATTCAATCATCCTCCAACTGAGCATGGTGTAGGAGATGTGCCTACAGTTGGATCCCAACTCACTCTGGAACTTCTTCTTTTGGTGCGTAACTCTTATCTTGTTTCCTCGGAGACCCTTAACAGAGACCGAAACAGAAAGAGACTTTCAGAAGTTGCAAGGGCAGCATCTTGCCAACCCGTGTTTGTTGACTCGTTCCCAAAGCTGAAAATCTGGTATAGGGAGCACCAGAGATGCATAGCGTCCACGTTATCAGGACTTACACATGAATCTCCTGTCCACCAGACAGTTGAAGCACTTCTCAACATGGTGTTCAGAAAGGTCAAAGGAAGTCAGACTTTAAATTCAACAGACACAAGCAGTTCAATTGGTGCTGCAAGTGAAGATAGCATTCCAAAACCTGAGTTTCCTGCTTGGGATATCCTCAAAGCTGTTCCATACGTTGTAGATGCTGCTTTAACAGCTTGTAATCATGGAAGTCTTTGTCCTCGTGACTTAGCAACAGGTTTGTGCCTTGTGCTTTCTTTTTGTTATGTTGTTTCAGCTTGTACTAATATGTGACCAGAGAGGATATAGTTTTTTCGTCGTGTTGTCGATGTTCAATAACATCCAGTGCCAGTGAAAGATGTGTTACTGTGTCTACCAGTTATATCATATGTTTTGTTTATGTGACAACAAGTGTTGTTCTTTCAGGTCTGAAAGATTTAACAGACTTTCTCCCGGCATCATTAGCAACGATAGTAAGCTACTTCTCGGCTGAGGTGAGTAGAGGTGTTTGGAAGCCAGTATTCATGGACGGCTTGGACTGGCCAAATCCGGCTGCAAACCTATCCAACGTTGAGGAATATATACAGAAAATTCTCGCAACAACAGGCGTTGATATCCCTAGCCTTGCTCCATGTAAAACTACGCAACTTGTTTAACACTGACCTCTCTATAATATGCTTTACATGTCTAGATTTGTTGAACTTATGTTTGACTCTTTCTGTATTATAGCAGGAGGGAGTTCTCCGGCAATGCTTCCTTTACCTCTAGCCGCTTTTGTAACTGTAACTATTACTTACAAAGTGGACAAAGATTCAGAGCGTTTTCTCAATCTGGCTGGCCCTGCACTCGAGTGCTTGGCTGCAGGCTGCCCTTGGCCTTGCATGCCCATTGTAGCTTCGTTATGGACACGAAAGGCAAAACGTTGGTTTGACTTCCTTGCTTTCTCTGCATCTCGCACCGTCTTTCTTCACAACCCAGACGCTGTGGTTCAGCTCCTCAGAAACTGCTTCAGGGCCACTCTCGGGTTAAATGCTGCACCCATGTCAAATGATGGTGGTGTTGGAGCTCTTCTTGGCCATGGAGGGATCTCCCCTGTAGCACCAGGGATTCTCTATCTACGCATGTATCGTGCTCTCAGAGCCACAGTCTCTGTAACGGAAGAGATTTTCTCTCTCCTGATACATTCCGTGGAGGATATAGCACAGAACATGCTCTCAAAGGAGAATCTGAAAAGTGGATCAAGATACGGCCAAAGCTCACTAGCAACAGCAATGACTCAAGTCAAGCTTGCTGCTTCGCTTAGTGCCTCATTGGTATGGCTAACCGGCGGCTTAGGTGTGGTCCACCTACTCATCAAAGAAACCATCCCTTCCTGGTTTCTAACGGTTGACAAGTCAGACCAAGAACAAGGACCATCGGATCTAGTTGCAGAGCTAAGAGGGCATGCCCTTGCCTACTTTGTGGTCCTATGTGGAGCATTCGCTTGGGGCGTGGACTCTAGATCAGCTGCTTCAAAACGCCGCCAAGGAATCTTGAGAAGCCACTTGGAGTTCCTCGCCAGTGCCTTGGATGGGAAAATATCAGTGGGATGCGAGACAGCAACTTGGAGAGCTTATATTATCGGTTTGGTGAGTCTAATGGTGAGCTGTTTGCCACGTTGGGTGACAGAGATTGATACAGAAGTGTTGCAGAGTCTGAGCAACGGACTGAGAAAGTGGGGGAAAGTTGAGTTGGCGATTTTACTTCTCTCCGTGGGAGGTATTGAAACAATGGATCACGCCACGGATTTTATCATTCATTTGAGTTCTTAGCTTTTAGGAGTTTTGATCTCTTCCATAGTTATTTTTTTAGTTGAGTTGCTTAATGGTAGATGTTTTTGCTTAGCGTTGCTTCTTTCTTGTGCCTTCTTTAGCTATAGTATAGTGTGATGACTCTTTAACACCCATGTATAGAGAATGAATGGTAAAAGAGACAAATCTTGTAAAGAGATAATGTTGTTTTATCAAAACATGATTAGGTCTACAAATTGCATTCTGATCTTTTGTCAATTTTTGCTACCACATGCAATAATCAAAAGTAAACAGAGGTTGTTTATCAAGTGTGACAATAAAATGAGGAAAACAAGTTATAACATTGAAAGTCTCAGTCACAACTGTGTCTCTTTTTCTTCTGATAATATGAAAAAAAATCCTGTTTCTTTGTAACCAGCATCACATTGTCTAGTTTCATTCTTGTCTTTTGTGTCTGCATTGCTGGATTTGAACCAAGCTTGGAACATAATTGAATATACGTGGCCGCCATGATTTCTGTGTAGAATTTACATAAGGAATTTCTGTGTGATATTCATCATCCTCTCCAATAATGTAGACCACGTTCTTCATGTCCCAACCACCTCGTCCAGGACACACGACCACTCTCTTGTCCTCGTCGAGTAAAAAAGTCAAGAAAAATGGGTAACGTTCTTCAAGAACGTGTAAATCCAATGTAAAGGACTTGCTCCACAACAAGGCAGCAGCTTCAGTACCAAAGTTATTGGTCACCCACAGTTCCATCTTTAACGGAAAGTAGGTCATATGTAACACTGAGATTTGTTCTTCTCTAACAAGAGATAGCATCATAGTCGGCGGAACTGGAGGAAGATTTAAACGTCTAAAGCTCTCTGTTGTGAAATCAAAACTGAGTAAGAATATAGAATCGTCGTCTTTTCTATCAATAGCAACCCAATATGTGTTTCCTTGCAAAGAAACGCATCCACTTCCATGTATAAAATAGTCAAGAGAGATTCCATCAAGAAACCTCCATGAATCAGAGCTAAACTCATAGATTTCAAACTCAACAACTTGGTCTTCTCTCTTGTAACTCTGCCAATACCTCAAGATTTTGTAGTCACGGCAAGTTTTGTTGTTTTTGTATCCTAGAGCAAAACTAGAGTGTCTCTTGTAATGACGAGTGCTTGCCTGGATCCATTTTGTTTCCCCTAAAAATGGATTCCAGACAACGAGCTTATTGTATTTGGTAACGCATAACAACAAACCTTCGCAGTGAAAGACTTCGATTATGTTGACTTGTTGTGAACTAGAGTGGGATCCCTTTAGGTCCAAGGGATCCTTAAACTCTATAGATGGAGCAGCGACGTTGAGATCGATCTGAACGGTCACTGGACAAACCCTAAACTCCTTCAACATGAGAAGTAGAGGCTGTTTTGGAGCTTGACGATGGTGCTTCTCGGTGAATGTTTGGTCTTTGAGTAAAGCATTCCATTTTTTACAAGTAGGTCGGAACCTTCTTAGAGTTGTAGCCGGAACTCTGGAGAGTATTTCCTCTAGTAAATGGTGGGGAAGATCAGATATCATCATTGTCTTCTTTCCCAAGGAAGAAGAAAGATATTAGGGTTTTGAGGTTTTCACTTTTTTGTAGTGAACCAATGTTTTTTTTTAATAGAAAAACAAAGAAACGATGTTCCTTTAAATACTTCTTTTTAAATAACGGCAAAATACTATTTCCTTTATTATGTGGATCTTTTTCTTAATTTTATCGATTTCTTTCTTTTTATTTTGTCTAAAAAACGGAAATGAATAAAAAAGAGAAATAAGTTCTTTGAAATATCTCTTCTTTTTTTTTTGGTCAAGTTCTTTGAATATCTCTAATCAAAGAACCTTAACGTCTCTGGTTCAACGTTTGCTTTCAGTGCAAATTCTTGCCTGATAAAGACCTTTGATGGAAAAAAAAAGAGGTACATTTTCAAAGTCTATGTAGCATATGAATACAAGTTTATATGAGAAGCTTATTATATGTCTCGTTGCATATATTTCTTTCTTTGAACACATGTTTCCTTTTTTTGGTTCAAAAATAAAACATATGAATGTAGAATTTTTAGTCAAAATGGTGGACACAACTTTGTATTGCCTCGTACGGAATTTATCAGCAGCAGTACCTTGCGATGGGTCAAATTCAGATGCCGGGATAAGATTCGTTTCCATTCCAAAATTTTAAACTTGAATTTTCCATACATACATATGTAATATGTATATGAGATATATATATATATATATATATATATATATGTGTGTGTGTGTGTGTGTGTGTGTGTGCGCCCTTTTAACATCTCTTTGTGATAGAGATAAACTAATTTGTAAAGATTCTGATCTCTACTTCGGATAGGTAGTTTCAACATCGCAGGCCAAATTGTTGATGTTGCACAGATGTTGGTTGCACATTTGGTGAACTAATAAAAAGTAAAGCAACACCTATATGAATTTGATGTAACCATCAAAGTTTGTCCTATAGAATTACGAAGAATTTGCTTTATCAAAGCATGACTTCATAGATTTTGACAAGTGTAAGAGATTATACAACAGAATGCTAAGCCTAAAAACAAAAAATAAATATAAAATTATTATTTACATATACTGTACATGTCTATTTTTCTGAGTAAAAAACACTATATAAACTATACAGTGAATTATTGTTACATTAACACTGCACCAAATCTATTTATATTTTCTTTTATGTAACGAAGATTTAGATATTCTTTTACCTAAACAATATATTCTTATAGCTTTAAATTAAAATCGCATCAAAATGTGTAACAAACACATGAAGATAAGGAGTCTAAACTTGTGACACATGTGGAATACGTGTCCAGTGGACTGAGGAGAAGTCAATTGACTGCCGCGACCATAGTTTCTCAAAACCTCAAAAGATTGAGATTCTTTTTTTTTTTTTTTGTCAACAAAAGATTGACACATTCAGACAGTTGTTATACATTCTTCAATATTTAAAAAACAAACAAAAAAATTCACAGAATCCGATCTAAAGTATAAAGTCTATCTATAGTTGGTCAAACGTCCTTAACTTTTGTTTTGCTCTTGACTTAAATTTATATAATAAAGTAAACTTTCTTTTTATAGAGGGAAAAATCTTATGTATCACTTTCTTTTAATGATATTTTCATATTTGTTTTTATAATTTAATAATTTCTATGATTATTATACATTTAAAATCTCAATAGATCTTCTCATCAGATCTACATAATACATTTTTCATTGTTTCACTTTTTTATTTTTTTACTAATCTATATTTTTTTGACAAAAAAATCATTGTCAATATTTTCTCATAATATAAATTGGAATTACATTCCCATGTTTGATTTTTTTTCTAATCACTCTTAGTTCATTGAAATTATTGGTTTCAGTAACTTAGAGCATGTCCAATGGGGCTCTTCCCATTAGAATTCTTAATATATATTTTATATATATGTATATATTATATATGCGTAAATAATTATAGAGTCTATAATTATTGTGGAACCCTATAAAAAAAGGTTCTTAAAAATTCTTAAAATCACTTTAAAAATTTTTACCTATGAAATTCTACAAAAATTACGGACTCCACAATTACTTATACATATATAATATATTCATATATATATATATATATCACATATATTAAGAATCCAATGGAAAGAACCCTCATTAAACATGGTCTTACCATTTTCTATTATTTTATCTGAGCAAGATTATTCATCTAAATAATAATAGAAATGTTGATATGGATCGTAAACCAAGCACTATCATATTTATCTAGTAAAATTGTATTTCATCGAACACATACATTTTAAATTTTTATTTATTGAAAAAGAGAGAAAAATGTGATATTTCTGTTACAAAAACAAATAAAAAAAACACATCTATACAAATAAAACTAAATGTTCTATATTTTTGAGAATTTGATTCAACATAAATTGTTCCTCTTGATAGCATCTAACATTTTCTCTTTAATCATCAAAAGTTGTTCTTTTGCTAAGTTATGTTTGAACATGTTTTGTTGTTAATTGTAACACTCATTGGGATTTTAACTTTTCTTGTTTATATTTTAGTTTTTTTAAATAACAAAATAACTACAAGGAAGTGTTATGCATTTCATCTTTTTTAACAAATACCTAAACCGCTTACTGATTAAAAAAAATAGAAAATCCATAACTTAAAAAGTTAGTAAACTTCGAATAAAAAATGAATAACACAAATGCATTGGTTAATCGTTTTGTCTAATGTAAAATCAGGTAAAGTTTAAACCAATATTTTAAAATCGTAACAAATACACGAGGATTAATGCACAGATAATTTAACTCAGCCACACGTTACAAACATATGATAATTAACTTAGTCAACATTCTCTTCTAACAACATACTTCTTAAGTATGTGTTGAAACATCGAATCAAATTTTTTTTTTTTTTTTCTTAACATCGAATCAAATTACATATTGAACAATTATATAAATCAATCTCTCCAACGCAAGAATACACTCATCCAATATTCTCTTTAAATAACATTCTCATCCATGAGTTGAAACCTTAATTAAATTATATATTGGACAATTTTATATATAAAATCTTCCAATGCAAGAATATTACTATCACACACACAAAATAAATTAATAAATAAACTTAAATCAACCATGATCAATCCTCAAAGAAGTCTCTGAAGACATTCAAGAAGATATTATCTTTAGAGCTCCGCAGTTATCAGGAACGATCATCCATCTTGCGCCATGCAATTATCTTTAATAATTAAAGCTGTTGAAGACAACCATGTTTAAAAGAATATGACAATCAAAAAATTGACTATCCATTTTGTTAATATTTTAAAATTTATTATTTTCTTACCAATTTTTCATATAAATAATAATTTAATTAAACATAAATTCAAGATAATATAAGAATTTGATTTATTTTTAGTTATATTTAAGAATAGATATGTATATATTAAAATTATGTCTTAGTTATGTTTTTTGTTTCTTTCTTTCGGTTAAAATATATAAAATCAAATTTCACAAAATTAAAGAAAATATATAATATTAAAATATCAAAAATAAAACAAAAAATATTTTTTAAAATAATTATATTAAAACAAAACAAATGACGTAACGGTTAAAGTTTTGTAAAAATATTATATAAAATATCGAAAATCTTTTTAATGATTAAAATTGTATAATTATCAAAATTACAATATATAATATTTTGAAAATTTTAAAATATTTAATTATTATAATATTATATTATTTAGTTTCATATCTGAATAGATTTATATTAATGATGATATATGAGTTATTACCATCTACTCTATTAAAATAGAGTCATGCTTTTTATCTACTGATATAAGTTGTCATTTAAATTTGGACCATTTCTAGAATGTTACAAATAATATAAGTTATATAATTGATTGAACCGTATTACTTAAATTAAACCAACACAATTAATGTAAAGAGACGACCTTAATGTAAACTACCTTCAAAATACGGCAGGTATCTATGTGTATACCAAAAACACATATTTTCTCCTACAAATATGGAATGTTCTAAAAGAATATATATCATCAAAATATGTAATATGAAAATCTACTAATAATATACTTAAATTAAACCAATAGTTATTTATGGAATATAGTATTGGACTTACTTTTATTTTTTGAACAAATTATATAGTTTGGTTTTTTGGCTTAGTATTAAGAAAAAACTCCAAAAACATTGAATAAACTTTTCACCTTAAAAGATAAAAAAATCAATTATTATTTTCAGACCCAAAAGGTATTTAATATTTTTAACAAAACAAAATTATCTATTATTAATCATTTATTTAAATCATGTACTTTAAAACATGTTAATATATTTTTTTATTTTAAATAACAATCACTTTGTTTTGATAAATTTCAATGGTAACTTTTAAATAATTTATTGTTTATTTTTCTTAAATAATTTACTGATTAAAAAATGTAAAGAAAAACCAAAAACCAAATGTAAAAACTAAAATTCAAAACCAAAAGCAGAAAACACATGTTATATTTTTTTGCTTTGTTTATTTACAAAATAAACTATTTCAATTTTTTTTAAAAAAATTTGTTATCATCTTTTCAGTTTTAAATTAGATGTTCGATTATTTGAGATTTGTTTGTTGGTAATATTAGTTCAAACTACCTCAGCGGGTTTAAAAATTAAAAAACCAAACCAAAAACTGAAAATGAAAAGTAGAAACTTAAAAACTAAAAACCAAAAACCAAAATCTAAAAATAAAAACTGAAACTAAAAACTAATGAAAAACAATCATCACCACAAATTTTGGTAAAATGATATTATATCAAAATATTCTTTAAATTAAGACAAAACCCAATTATATAAATTTTTAATCGTAGAAAATTTCCGCGCTTTCAAGCGCGGGTCAAAATCTAGTATTGTTTAAATTTAACAAAAATAGAAATTAACATGAAATGTAATTATCCATCTCACATTTAACCGTAAACTATGTCATTGTTTTTAGCAAGGCATATATTTTTTTAGTAAAATTGATTGTATAGTCATTTAAAGATTATGAAATATAAAATAAAATTTCAGTAATACTAACTATAAACTTTTTAGTCAATTAATTAAACATATATCGGTTTATATTATTTATTACTTTAAGTAATCATATAAGAAAATATATAGACATATAGAATTTATTTCTATTATTTTAAATATTTTAGAATGTTTCTGTTTACTTACAAAATTATGAGAAATTGATTAAATTACAACTTTTCTTATATCCATTTTTATATGTACCTTAACCACATTTACCTTGGTTTTAGTGACATAAACATAAACTTATAACCATAGGATTAACTAATCTAGATTTAAAGTTTCATCGTACTATCATAGAGGTGAGATTTATAGTTTTAATAAATATATAAATAAATATTAAAAAATCAAATATTTTTAACTAGTTTTAAAATGAATTTAAATTTCTAAAGGAAAGTTTGAAAAACAATATTCAATCAAATCAAAAATAAACATAAAAAGGTTTATTTTAAAAATATATAATTTGGAAACTATAAAAAATTTAGTTTTTATTTTTATTATTTACTTAGATAATTATTAATAAACCAAGAGTATAAATTTATTTCCTAACTTAATGAAACCTTCAATTTATGTATTTTGAAAATGTCAATTTAGATACTATAAACATGAATAATTATACTATATGAAAGAGTACAAATGAATTTTTCTCAAAAATCACTCTTTGGACTTATATAAATTGGTAGTGAGATTAAAAAAATGGTATTTTGTATTTAGAAATTTTCTAAGATAGCCTGTTTTAGTTTATTTTCACAAAACGAACCTTTAAAATAGAAAACGACTAATTTTTTTTTTGTATTGAATGAGAAATATAGTCTTATACCCCTAGGATTTACTATCTCTAACTTTTTTGTTTAGAAATGAGAGGTGAGATTTTAGGGTAGATTTTAAAATATTAAAAATAAAAAATAATTAAAAATTTGAAACTAAAAATTTGAAAAAGAGTTTCAAAAGCATTTTTGAATTGCAAAAAAAAAAATCGAAGAAACAATTTTGAGAAAATTATAAAAAATATGAATGTGAAAATATATATTTCGAAAATAAATAAAAATTTATACTTAACTTTTATATTTATTTTATTTATTATTTATAAATAAAAAGGCACAAAAATCATTTGTCTCTTTAATAAAATCATTTTTCATATTCTCTCTTGAACGTTAAATTTTTTTCCATCTTCTCTCTTGAACGTACTTTTTGAGACAAAAATAGACTATTTGAGAGGATTGTTCTTTTGTATTTTGTGTATACAATGTCTACATTTAAATAATATCTACAATGTCTACATTTAAATTATATGGTTTCAGCAAAACTATTTAGGCAAATTTATTAAAAATTTGAAATATATTTAATTTAATCAAGTGTAAATCAGTTTTTTCGAATAATAATCATATTAATATCTGAAACTAAAACTATTTAGGATTCAATCAGATATTAAATATGTAGCTAAACTTGAACATAACCGGATTAAACTCGAACTGGATCAGATGAGAACTTTTATAATATCCGAACAGAGTCGAAATTCATATCCAAATATCCAAAATCCCAATGAACCAAATCCAATTGGGACTCTGATTGAGCTCGAGAAGTGTCTTTGTTTTTAAAATATATTTTGATTTGTCAACACAACATATTTTGATAATTTTATCTCTTAAAATTATTTTAAAGTATTTCAGATATATGTTTATTTATAAAGTGGCAGTTTTCTTAAATAGTCATTTTTCAAGATTTTATCATCAGAATAATTCTCAAAGAATAAAATGATCAAAATAGATTTTGAGGTAAAAGATTTATACTCTTGTTTTATAGATATAAAAATAAAACAATAAAAGATAATAATTTTTTTTTTTTATCATTGTGAATTATATGCTTTCAAATTCAATTTTTGAGAAAAAAAATTTTGAATTTTCTCTTTTCATTTTGAAATTCGAAAATGATTTTAAACCTATTTTAAAATTTTTTATTTTTAGTTTTTCAAAATTTAAATCCTCCCCCAAATCCATCTCTTAACTCTAACTAGATTTTGACCCGCGCTTTTTATTTTTTATGATTAAAAATTTATATAATTGGGTTTTATCTTAATTTAAAGAATATTTTGATATAAAATCAGTTCACCAAAATTTGTGGTGATGGTTGTTTTTCATTAGTTTTTAGTTTCAGTTTTTATTTTTAGATTTTGGTTTTTGGTTTTTAGTTTTTAAGTTTCTACTTTTCATTTTCAGTTTTTGGTTTGGGTTTTTAATTTTTCAACCCGTTTAGTTAGTTTGAACTAATATTCCCAACAAACAAATGTCAAATAATTGAACATCTAATTTAAAACTGAAAAGATGACAACAAATTTTTTTAAAAAAATTTGAAATAGTTTATTTTGTAAATAAACAAAGCAAAAAATATAACATGTGTTTTCAGCTTTTGGTTTTGGATTTTAGTTTTTAGATTTGGTTTTTGGTTTTGCTTTACATTTTTTAATCAGTAAATTATTTAATAAAAATAAAACAATAAATTATTTAAAAGTTACCATTGAAATTTATCAAAACAAAGTGATTGTTATTTAAAATAAAAAATGTATTAACATGTTTTAAAGTACATGATTTAAATGATTAATAATAGATAATTTTGTTTTGTTAAAAATATTAAATACCTTTTGAGTCTGAAAATAATAATTGATTTTTTGATCTTTTAAGGTGAAAAGTTTATGCAATGTTTTTGGAGTTTTTTCTGAATACTAAGCCCAAAAACCAAACTATATAATTTGGAGTTTGTTCAAAAAATAAAAGTAAGCCCAATACTATATTCCATAAATAATCACTGGTTTAACTTAAGTATAATTAGTAGATTTCCATATTCCATATTTTGATGATATATATTCTTTTAGAACATTCCATATTTGTAGGAGAAAATATGTGTTTCGGTATACACATAAATACCTACCTATTTTGAATGTAGTTTACATTAAAGTCATCTCTTTATATTAATTGTGTTGGTTTAATTTAAGTAATACGGTTCAATCAATTATATGACTTATATTATTTGTAACATTCTAAAAAAGGTCCAAATTTAAATGACAAATTGTATCAGTAGATAAAAAGAATGACTCTATTTTAATAGAGTAGAAGCTAAGTATAAATTAGTGTATTCTAAAGGATATAAAAGTATATTCACGTTTTAATAAAACTTATTTTAATTATTTTCTTCTTGGGACTTTTTTTTTTGTAAGTAAATATGGTATATTAGGGAATTTCTCATTATAAAATCATTGCCGCTTTTGGACTTGTATAAATTAGTGGTAAGAATAAAAAAGTGGTATTTTGTATTTGTGTACACACTCTGGACATTGTAAAAAGTCAGAGGATTCTTCTTCTTAATTCCATCCATCGCTTAAAAGTTACACACTTCTCGATGATCCTTATCGGCTTTAAGATTCTCCCTTTTGTTGATCAATCATCGTTTCGTAGTTTGGATTTTGATTCTCCGCTGTTTTTACTCTCCTATGTGTTTTGTAATCTGCAAACTCATTCCTCAACACCAACAATAGAGTCTGTCTGAATATTTATTTCATTGGAGCTGCTAAAGTGTAATTTTTTTGTTTTTGTTTTTTTTTGTTTTGTTTTGTTTTGTTTTGTTTTTGAGTTTCTCTTTTGATATATTATCATCAGTGTAGAAAATTGAGAAAGTCTTAATTAGAGTGGGAGAATGGTGGGACCAACTTTGTTTCACCGGAATAAGCATTCTTGGCCGCCTGAGGAATTCATTTCCAAAACCACTTTGCAATTAGTAAGTCTATTATTGCCTAAAGAATGAATTGTTTTGATTATGTTAAAAAAAAAAAAAGAAATGGACTTTGAGTTGTATATCATTTGCTTTTTTGGTAGCTTGATTTTGATAGTGCTGCTCCGCCACCACACGCATGGAGGAGGAGATTAAACTGCCATGCCAATATCTTAAAAGAGTTCAATATCACTTTCAGAGAAGCCATTAAAATGGTATCTATCCAATCCAATTTATTTCCTTCATATCATGAATGGTTATGTGTTTCTTTTTGATGCCAAAACCCCAACAAATATGATTTATTACAGGTACGCTTGGGGATAAGATTATGGTCTTATGTCAGAGAAGAGGCCTCTCAGGGAAGGGTAACTTCACTAAATTTCGTTGCAAAGAACCTTTTCTTTTGTTTGAAAAAAACATATTTTTGTAGAATTATAGTTCATATATGGTTTGGTAAATATTATAGTGCAAAGTTCTGGTCTTTGTCGTGGTTATATATCTTTTGATTGTTACAGAAAGCACCAATTGATCCTTTCACTAAAGAGAATTGTAAACCATCTGCATCCCAAGGTGTTCCCCTCGGAGGAATGGGGTACAAAAGCAGATTACCCTCTTGATTCTATTGGCATAATTTTGGTAGTTTAGGTTTTGAATGCCTGCTGGTAATTGCAGAAGTGGAAGCATATCTAGGGGCTTCAGGGGTGAGTTCAAGCAGTGGCAAATTATTCCTGGAACGTGTGATCCATCACCTATGATGTCTAATCAGTTTTCTGTAAGTCTTTTTGACCTTAGTGGAATTCAAAGTCTATGTTTATTGAATTCATGACTTGTTAGTTCCATTGATAGTCTCTTTTACTTCCAAAGTGTAGCCTTTTATACTTCCATTGTTTTACTCTTTCTGGATCTTTCAACAGAAAATTATACCGACCAATTGTACCTTTGAAAGCTTAATGATTGTTTTTGCAAGTGCATAAACATCCCTTCGTGCTAAAATCATCCCTAATAGTTCTTACCAGTATGCTTTTGTAATGGTACATGGTTTTCACAGTGAATCCCTGACTTGTTAGTTACTTGTGTTCTCTAATCACATTTCGGTGGCCCATTCCTGGCAGATTTTTATTTCTCGGGAGGGTGCGCACAAAAAGTATGCATCAGTTTTGGCTCCAGGCCAGCATGGAAGTTTAGGGTAAGTATCTGATTTACAACTACCCACTGTTTCAACAATCCAAGTTTTTTTCTTTCTTAATTCACGTACCTTGGAATGGTTTTATGGTCTCAGAAAATCTCGTGATACTGATAAGGGAATCTCTTCATGGGGTTGGAATCTGAATGGCCAGCATTCTACTTATCATGCGCTCTTTCCTCAGGCCTGGACTGTATATGATGGTACCTACCTACGCGACTTTGTCCTTTAAGGCTGTCTTATTTCTCTCTGTATATTGTTTGTAATGTTGATTCTCTTTGTAGGTGAGCCAGATCCAGAGCTGAAGATTTCATGTCGACAAATATCTCCCTTTATACCAAACAATTACCGAGATAGTAGTCTTCCAGCAGCTGTTTTCGTATATACAGTAAGTATTCTATTCATCCAGTCGATATTTATACTCTTGAGTTGGTGCTGCCTCTGTAAATAGGGAAAACCTTAGTTTTGAAAAGGAAGGATATATATTTTTTAGCAAACGACCTTTGGAATATTTAGACCGTGCACATTCCACATGTATGGTTCTGTTGTGATAATTTTCCTTAGTTGGTGAACCGCAACATATTGTTATACTCGAGTATCGGAAGTGGTAGCACTTGTAGAGTATCAATCTCCTTCAAGTAGTATCTGTGGAAAACTTTAAAGAGATGCTACTTTTGTTTTAGCTGGTGAACACTGGAAAGGAAAGGGCAAAAGTGAGCCTTCTTTTTACATGGGCGGTGAGTTAGCATCTGATTCATTTCTATTACATTATGTCCACTGTCCAGAAGAGCAGATGTTTACCAGCTTTGCATTCTGCAGAACTCAATTGGTGGGATTTCGCATATGTCAGGGGGTCATGTGAATGAGCCATTCATGTAAGGAGGAATATGTGACATCTTTTCCATAAGTGATTATGGCTTCAAGTCGATGTGTAATTTTTTTGTTTGGGTCCTTCTTCCTTTCAGAGGCGAAGATGGGGTCTCTGGCGTCTTCTTACATCACAAGTAAGTCACTTTACCTTAATAGCTGTAAAACTGTTGGTTTGCATATATCTCGTGGTTCACATTGACACTCTCTCTCTTAATGATTTGCACGCTATCCCAATTATTTCACTCTGCATAAAGTAAAGATCTCCAAGTATATCCTCTTGCTAAAATATTTTACATTGTTGTCGCCTTTTGGGTGTTTAACACTGTTCGCCTGCTTTCTATTCACATGCTCCATTTATGAAGCTAATGCGGTGGAATATATTCCTGTTACAGTAGAAAGTTGGGTTAGTTTCTCTTAGATTTCTCTTGAATGTGTGATAATTGTTCAGGACAGGCAATGGAAATCCTCCTGTTACATTTGCGATCTCTGCTTGTGAGACTCAGAATGTAAACGTGACTGTTTTACCATGCTTTGGATTGTCGGAAGACAATTTTTTCACAGCGAAAGATATGTGGGAAACAATGGAGAAGGTGACTTTTTGCATCATCTTCAAGTTTGCATGTGGATCTCATAGCTTGTCAAAACATGCTATTTAGTTTATAATTATTATTTTTCAGTCATGTGAAAACGTTTGTTTTATATATTTGGAGTAGTTGTACAAATGAGACTGACATTTGCACATTCTATCTAAAAGGATGGGAAATTTGACCAAGAAAACTTCAATAGTGGGCCGAGCATGCCTTCATCACCTGGAGAGACTATTTGTGCAGCGGTCTCAGCTTCAGCGTGGGTAGAGGCTCATGGCAAGTGCACTGTATCTTTTGCTCTATCATGGCCATCACCAAAGGTGAAATTTTCTAAGGGAAGCACTTATGACAGGTAAGTAAAAACTAAAACATCTGTGGCTTCTTCCTAAACTTGAAAGAATAATAAGTTGTTTCCTTGTCTGATTATTTATCATTAATTTGCTTTTTATAAAAAGTTGTCATGAAATTGGCTTCTTCTCTTCTTCATTGCATCGGAAAATGTCCCAAAACACTGAATCTGAAGGCACATAGTGTTGAAAACTAGTTAATATGCATAAATATCCCCTTTTTGGTATCGGTTGGTTAACAAAGCTAAAATCTTGTGGTTGAACTGAGTTTTATCAAGTACGTGCTTTTAAAGATCAGTTATTTAGCCAATATTTTGAATGTGGTATGTCTGGTAAAATTTTGAGTTCTATTTTTTGTTCTTCTATATTTTCGGTTTGTAGGAGATACACCAAATTTTATGGAACTTCGCCAAGAGCAGCTGTGGATCTTGTGCATTATGCACTAACACGTATGTATCTCTGGTGTCAAATGTCTTTGCGTCATTTACTCACCTTGAGTTGCCGCTGTTCTGTTTGGATATATACCTGATAGTGCTGTTACACATACACATAATGGTGCTTATGTATTATATTAACTAGCTTTGGTTTCCAAATTCAGATTATAAGAGGTGGGAGGAAGATATTGAGGCGTGGCAAAATCCCATTCTTAAAGATGACAGGCTTCCTGAGTGGTAATTGCTTTGAAAACCCTTCTTTGTATACTCAAAGCATTGCAGTTGGTTCGTTTTGCAACTTTTTGCATTTCCTGAACATCACAAATGCATCATTGTACTGCATATTCATGTATTCCACAATAGATGAACTTTTAATACCTAGCTCTATTATATTTGTCCACTAAATTGTTTTTGTTATTTGCAGGTACAAGTTTACTCTGTTCAATGAGCTTTACTTTTTGGTAGCCGGTGGTACAGTCTGGATAGGTATACTTATATGATTGAACATTGTTACTTCTCTTTTGTTACCTTGAAAAATATTTTTATTACTTTCTAAAACATTTTCTGTTGCAGACTCTGCTTTACTTCAAAAATCTGAAATAAGAAATTCATATGGTAAAGCTAGTGGAGTTGATAGTAAAGAACATCAAAATAACCTTGATAATGGCAACAGCGATGGAAAAGAAAGCAATGTAGAAGCATCAGTTATTCAAAAAAGGAACGGTTTAGTTGTGGACACATCGCACGCAGATGATGACAACGATGTTGGTCGGTTTCTGTACTTGGAAGGTGTTGAGTATGTGATGTGGAACACATACGATGTCCACTTCTACGCATCATACGCCCTCCTTATGCTATTCCCAAAGATCGAACTAAACATCCAGCGGGATTTTGCTAAAGCCGTGTTGTCAGAAGATAAAAGGAAAGTTAAGTTCCTAGCAGAAGGAAACTGGGGAATCCGCAAGGTCAGAGGCGCTGTTCCTCACGATCTAGGGATGCACGATCCGTGGAACGAGATGAATGCCTACAACATACACGACACAAGCAAGTGGAAGGATCTTAACCCAAAGTTTGTGCTTCAGGTGTACAGAGACTTTGCAGCTACAGGAGATTACCAGTTTGGAATAGATGTTTGGCCTGCAGTTCGTGCTGCTATGGAGTACATGGAGCAGTTTGATAGAGACAATGATGATCTGATAGAGAACGACGGTTTCCCGGATCAGACGTATGATACGTGGACCGTTCATGGAGTGAGCGCCTACTGTGGTTGCCTGTGGCTTGCTGCTCTTCAAGCTGCAGCGGCAATGGCTCTTCAAATTGGTGATAAGTTCTTTGCCGAGTTATGTAAGAATAAGTTTTTGAATGCAAAGGCAGCATTGGAAGCGAAACTCTGGAACGGAACGTACCTGAATTATGACAGTGGGGCGAGCAGTAACAGCAAATCTATACAGACTGATCAGCTGGCTGGTCAGTGGTATACTGCATCCTCAGGTCTGCCTCCAATTTTTGAGGATTTCAAAATCAGAAGCACTCTGCAAAAGATATTTGATTTCAATGTGATGAAGACCAAAGGAGGGAGAATGGGTGCTGTGAATGGGATGCATCCTGATGGGAAAGTTGATGAGACGTGTATGCAGTCGCGTGAGATATGGACAGGTGTCACTTATGCAGCTGCAGCTACTATGATCCTCTCTGGAATGGAGGAACAAGGGTTCACTACCGCTGAGGGTATTTTCACAGCTGGCTGGTCAGAAGAAGGCTTTGGGTAAGTTTTAGTCAGTCTGTTATAAGTTTAGTTTGTTTTTTTTTTGGGAAGTTTTCATTTGAGGATGACATGTTTGAACTGGATTTAGATATTGGTTCCAAACACCGGAAGGTTGGACAACGGATGGGCATTACAGGTCATTGATATACATGAGACCTCTGGCAATATGGGGAATGCAATGGGCGCTGTCGTTGCCAAAGGCAATTCTTGATGGTCCTAAGATCAACATGATGGACAGAGTTCACATGTCCCCTATAAGCCGCAGATTCTCTCACAACGTCAAAGTTGTAAAACACAAAGCTAACTGTTTCGGCAAATGTAAATTAAGCTGTCCCTGCTGAAAATAAAATCTAAAGTAGCTGACGTGTGGAGTTTTTGGGTTTGTAATATAATTTACAGGGAGGGACTATGGATAATATGGAAACGTTCCTAGAGTTTTACAGTACATTTTGCTTGTGTAAATATATAGAGAGAAAGAAATTATGTTTTGCAGGAAGATGATAAGTTTGTAACCTAACCACTTTGCTTCTTAGTTAATAAGAACCTGAGAAGAACATTTTGTAATCTGTCTACGTACTGGATTTCTCAGAGCATGCCCATTAGAGGTTTTTAAGAGAGGTTTACACGTTTTCGAGGGGAAAAGTGGTGAACCCGGTTTGCGTGGGTTCGTTGTGGTGAATCTGGATCGTCACGGGTTCGGCCCGTCACACGGGTCGTGATTCACCGAAATTTTTTTTTTTTTTTGGAAAAGGTCAAAAAAAAAAAAAATTAAAAACGTGCCTAAGAATTCGTGCCTGTCCAGTATCACTGATGGGAATGCTCTCAAACTGTTCTTTATCTCAGTTTAGCCAAGGAATGCTTTAAAACATGTAAACCCCATTTTGGTTCTCTCTCGCAATCATCTCATGTGTAATGACATCAGCAAAAGTGTCTAAGCAAGAAGTTATTATTATTACTCAAGTGGCTCCGTTTGCTTCATTTTCTTCTGTTGCAAATCTTTGCAGTAAATGTCGCTGTAAAAATTGGAAGAAATTCCTTTTCTAAAGACTTTTAGAGATAAAATCATTAGTCTAGACCGTTTAGTTGTTTCTTGACGTTAGAATACAATGTATTTGACCGTAAGTGTCAAAAAGTGTGTAAAAAAATAAAATGAAAGTTTTTGACCGTTGGATCATATACCAAAGAGTCAAAAAGTGTGTGAAATGAAATAAAAGTCTGTTAAAGTGTCTTATAGAACCGTAATGAAACTCTTTATTTAATAAATAGGCGACAACAAGCAAACGTATGCTAAGTTTGGTCACCATTTTTGTCTAAAACCACTCTCTGAAGAACAATAATGTTGGGACCTCAGTGCTGTGAAAACCCACCGGTTCTTAACCCGCTCTCCGGGTCGGGTCATGTGGAGAAGCTATGTGGTCTCGATGCCTACGTCTCTGGCTCTCCAGATTCCAAGAAGTGCGTCCTCCTCGTCTCGGATATTTATGGTAAACATTACTGTTTTGTGTCTTTTATCTGATTGAAAGTCATTTATATTTATTTAGAGACATCTGTTGATTTGGTCATTTCTCATCTCTGTGTTCTGACTTCACTTCGTGTTTTCTTCTTCAGGATATGAAGCTCCAAACTTGAGGTATTATATATAACTTATCTCCTCGTCCGTGATTACTTGTGTTGCAGTCTCGTTAGATTCTGCATGTGTGTTTGTATATAGTTTGCTTTGTTTTGCATTTTGTACAAGCTGAAATTTTATAAGATGTTCAAATTTGAAGTTTAATATTATTTGATCTGATCTAAATTCTAATATCAGTGGATAGGATGTTACTGTGTGTTACTGTCTGAATTTTTTTTTTTACTGTCTGAAAGTTTTTGTTTATAAGCTTTGAGTTATTGTTTAGTAGCATTTTTTAAGATTCTGTGCCACAACTACAAAATGAATGTTTAATGGAGTGAGAGTTCTTTCATGTTATTATGTTTTTAAGGGAGCTTGCGGACAAGGTTGCAGCTTTTGGATTCTATGTTGTGGTTCCTGATTACTTCTATGGAGATCCTTATGATCCCTCTCATCAAAACAGACCTGTTCCTGTCTGGATCAAAGACCACGGCCCTGTTCGTTTCCTTTTCCCATAGATGTTATGTCATCTTGTTCTGTTGTTTTCATAGGTTCCATATGAACCTGTTCATATTCTCTTTTAATAGGATAAGGGGTTTGAAGACACAAAGCCAGTACTTGAAGCTATAAAGAACAAAGGCATAACTGCCATTGGGTCTGCAGGGATATGTTGGGGTGGTGAGTTTATTAGTCTTTGTCACATCTCAAGTATGTTGTAAAGATGCTTAGACCAAGATATTAGTGACACACTCTTTCACTACTAACATCTGGAAAGTGTCTGATGCATATTACTTATTCTCTCTCTCTCTTGTGTTAAAAAATGATCTTCAGGAAAAGTGGTGGTGGAATTGTCTAAACAAGAGCTGATCCAAGCAGCTGTTTTGCTTCATCCTACTTATGTCACTGTGGATGATATCAAGGGTAAAGTGACCTTTGGTACTTTTGATAACACATATGCTTCCATCTTGATTCTTCACATAAACCTGAGGAACATAAACCCTCATGCGTCCCCTTATGCTTTGTCTTTTGGTTATACCTCTTATGGATTTGACGATTTCATGCAGGTGTGAAGGTTCCAATAGCTATACTAGGAGCTGAGGATGATTTTTTGACACCACCAGCACTCGTGAAGCAATTTGAGGAGATTCTTGCTTCCAAACCTGAGGTAAAATCCTCTGCTTCTTCTGCAACTCAACAGTGCCATACTAACTTTTATTGGGAATGTGTAGGTGAGTAGTTATGTGAAGATTTTCCCGAATGTCTCACACGGTTGGACAACTCGGTACGACATCAATGAGCCAGAGGCGGTTAAAGCTGCGGAAGAAGCTCACAAGGAGATGCTTGACTGGTTTGTGACTTACGTCAAATGAATGAGAATAGGCTCTCTTAAGTGATCATATCTGCTACTGCTAGTTGAATAAAAAAAAGGAGAGAACTAGCAAGTTATAATAAAACTCTTGGTTTGTTTGTGTCTCTCTACTCTCTATCATTGTCTATAGGCTTTTCTTCAGAGTTTGGTCTGTGATTATATATGATTGCAAAATTTACCTTTTGTCATCATCTTTAATTAGATTGCAATATGAAAAAAGATATCAAAACATATATATTTGCAATCTACATGTATAAATAATACAAATCCGTATCAGCTTCTTATATTTCTAAATTTACTCAACTCTTTTTATTTGTTGTGAACTCGTTGGCTATTTTCGCAAATTTAAACTTGTCTAAGCCAACACCACAAAGTAATTTTATATTTCACTTCCAGTAAATAAACTAGTTATCCTCTTGCTTTCTCCGTTTTGTTATGAGTTTTTTGTTTGGTAAATGTCTTAGAATTGGATTTATCCTTTTTTTTTCTTTGAAAGTTGTAGTTTCCCTTTAGTTAGGGCTATCCTTTCCCTGTATATAGGATTTTTGTTTTTGGAGGTTTTGGAAACCTGCAGCTCTTTATATTCCACCGTTTAACCTCATCTTATAATCATCCTAGTAATTTCCAATGTATGAACTTGAGTATAAGAAATTTAAAAAAAAAACATAAAAGACGTTGTAGAGCTAAGAAAGACTCCTAGACAAGTTAACAATTTTGGAGAACCAAATCTCAACTTACAAGCAATATAGATTTTGGTAAATTTTCCCAAAATATTTTTATAGTCTGTGTACTTCAACAACAATAAGGAAAAAAAAGTCGAATATCTCTAAATTTATTTTGTTGACTAAAGAAAATCTGTAAGTTTACAGTTACAAAAAAAAATCCGTAATTTTATTTACAAGGAAAAAAGAAAAGGTAACGGCGTTATCTCTCTCCAACCACGCCTCTATATATATAGAACCTGCAATCGCAAAATCAAGCGAAAACGCTCCTTCTTCTTCCCCTGCTCACACCTGAAACCCAAAAAAAAAACAAATTAGGGTTTTATTCTCCCGATTGCGTCCGATCGAATCCGATCGAATGGCGAAAAGACTATTCGCGGTGCTCGAGTGCCAATCCCTACTCGAGAATCTACCTCCCTTCGTTGACACCACCAAACGCCCTAAAAACTCCTCAGACGCCGATAGTCCAACGTGCGTATCCCCGAACTCGGTGATCGGATTCCCGGAGCTGACGGAGGAGCCGAGCCTCGATTCGGATCGGGGCGTTTTGTGCCGGCTGTGCGTTAGGTTACCGGACGGGAGGAAAGTGGAGAGGAGGTTTCTGAGATCAGAGTCTGTTCAGCTTCTCTGGTCGTTTTGCTATTCGTTGATTGGTGAATCGGAGAGGAAGGAGAGGTGTTTTAAGTTGATTCAAGCGGTTCCTGGGGAGTATAAGAGTCTTTATTATGGATCTGAGACGAGTTTTGATGAGTCTGGGCTTGCTAACTCGTTGATCTCTGTCGTTTGGGTGTGAATAAGTTATTTTGGTTATTATTTTATCTTTGTAGTTTTCTTCTATGGGTTTGAACAGTTTATATTGGGAATTATTGGATCAAAACATAACGTCTGTTTACAAAGTCAATTTTTATTATCTGAAGTCATCTTTTCTGCCTTTAAGATATGTGTCGTCGTGTCTTTGTTTCTCTGCTATCTTGTCGTTCTGCTCAGTTTTTAGGCTGATGCGAGAGACATTCTCTCGCTGTAATCGTGCTCTTTCTTGCAGTCGCTCACCAGATCATATGCCTTTTCTCGTTGCTCCTCTCCATCACAGAGATCATAAAGCTCTTATTTTTATGATCGTTGCATCTGTGATGTGTCTTTGGATTGAAAGTGTTGCTTTACAGAAGATTTGGTCTCAGCATTTGGGCACTAGTTGCGGTACCAATGACGGGGCATTAGATAGATTACTCATTGTGTTCTTTGTTGTACAAAGGCGTCTGTCTGTTCTATTGCTTAGGCGTAACGTAATTGAGATGACGTCTTGACATGATTGCTTCCATCTTCTACTTTTATGTTCTTGGCATGTCTTTTGTAGCAGCTGATTTGTTACCAGTAATCATCCTTTCGGTGAAGGATATCATGTATAAAATCTCTTTTGACATAAGAAATTATTAGATGATTGATGAATAAGTTTCAGTTATTTTCAGAAACTCTTTAAATGATTTAAAGTTTCTAATTAACTAAAAAAACCTTCCAAAATTTTATCAGTGACTAGATACATATGACCATTACAAAGATAATTTTATAAATATTTTACATATACTTTTAACTAGGGTTTTATTTATTTTCCAAGTATTCTATATCTATATGATTATGATGAAACAATACAACACTAACTCTTATGTTTTTCTTTTTAATTACAATAGATTGTCAAAACTCTCAACTGTTTTTCTTTCATTTGGTTATTTTTGAAGTTTTCTCTTTTTTTTTTTTATAAATAAGATATTGATCCATTCTTCCACAAAAATGTGGCTCAAAAGTTTTCTTGTTTGTATACTAGGTTTTCATATTTTCAATTGTTTGTTTCACTAAACTCTTATATTTTCTTCTATTTCTGACAAAAAATAAAACAGTTCATTTTTTTTTCACTTTGTTTTTTTTTTGTAAGTCTTTTCTTCTACTTGATTTTGATTCCTTTCTTCCACAAATTTTTGATTGAATCTTCTCATGTTTATATAGAAGTGTTTGCATATTTTTAACTATTTTTTCTTTTCATAGAATTTAAATATGCTCAATGTCTTTTTATTCAATAAGATCTTGATTCCCATCCTTCACAACAAATGTGATTAATGTTTTCTTGTTTATACACAAGTTTTTGCATAGTTTTTATTTTTTTGTTCACTGAATTTCTGTTTTTTTTTTTGCTCTAGTTACTAAAAAACTAGTCTCATTTTTACATTCATTTGGTTTATTTATGAAACATTCTCTTTTATTTGATTTTGATTTTTTTCTTCAACGAAAAATATTATTTTAACCTTCTCTTGTCATATGAATATTTGCATATATTTGAAACTAATTACTTTTCTCCACGAAACTACAATATGTACAGCCTATCCTTAATATTTTCTTCATTGTATAAGATATTCCACTATTCCACCAAAAATGTAATTTGAATGTTCTCTCGTTTATATGCAAGCTTTTACATATTTTAAACTAATTTTTTGAAACTCCTATACATTCTCTGTGTTTTTAACAAACAAGTTTTAAAATGTCTTTCATTTGATTTATTTTTCAAGTCATCTGTCCTACTTAATGTTGATTACTCTCTTTAAAAAAAAAATAATAATTTGAATATTCTCTTGTTTATTTTTTTATATCACTGATAGTTTGAATAGTTCAAAACTGAAAACAAATGTACATAAGGAAAAATAAAATGAGATATCAATAGACACCTAAACAAAATGAATGGAAACTCACCAAATTAACCCCTTATTTTTGAGACTCCAAAGCGAAATGATGATGAAGCCACATCGGAACATGTCTGGCGATGTATGACTGGTGACGCTAATCACGAGTGACATTTAGAGCAATTGCCGCTGCCGTTTCATTGCGTTTCTAAAAGGCGTATTCTAAGTTCCATGTGTCTATTCTTGCCAAAAGAGAAACAATATTATGGCGGATGAGGCTGAAGTCAAGGTTTTGCTGGTTATCAGGCTTTGTGAGTACGTCATGAAGGCTGTCGGACGATGTCTCAAAAATAATATTTGAGAAATGTAAATTATCCATACATTCGACCGCACAGAACATAGCCCATATATCCGCTTATGTTTTTGTACGCATATAAGAGTAAGCCTGACGGCTATGCATGATCGTAACCCCATTTCCATCACGTAAAATCCATGAAGCACCACTAGGTTGATTGGATTTCACCCATGAGGATCCAATATTACATTTTAGGAAACCCATGGACGGAGGTCTCCATCGCACAATTCCCGTATCGATACTAGCAACCCCATCACTCCTTTCTGTGAAAGTATCAAACCATACTGATTCTGCTTCATAGGCTTTCGTAGCCACAACCGAAGCGTCAATAACTTTGGTTTCAAAAGTAAAAACATTCTGAGCTTTCCAAATTTCCACAGTAACCATGGGAAGACTTTTCTTGTATGACTATTTAAAAATGTGGAATTGTGAGAGAACCCTCCTGGAGGTATTGGGAAATTCGATTGCTCCCATGTGGCTCCTGCTTTAACACAAGTAAAGAGGACATGACATATACTCTTAACCCCATTACCACAAAAATAACATATTTGGTCGATAGGAATACCCCGAGTAGACAAACGTTGTTTAACAACTAACGCACCAGATAGAAAACGCCACATGAAGTGTTTAATTTTTGGAGAGGATTTGGTCTTCCAAAGTTCCCTCCGCAAATGTTTTTCAATAGGAGTGAGAGAGTTATGTGGAGGGTGTTCATAATCCACCAAAGTCTCTGAAAACTTATACACACTCCGAGTCGAATATACCCCATTTGATGTGAAACCCTATTTAAAAGAATCCCTTAAATCCACTGCCAGTTTCAATAGTAATATCCTTTGAACATCTTTTGATGTAAAAATACGATGTAACAAATTAATATCCCATTGATTTGACCCCTGTAGGAATAAATCTGAAACTTTTAATGCTAAATCTATGGGACTATTTTCCCGGTACCTTGGAGGCCGGGGAATAATATCAATAACCCAGTTTTCTGCCCAAACATTAGTATCCATCTCATTACCAATATGTCGAAACAATCCCTTTTTGAGTAGTTCTCTACCGTGCATGATACTCCTCCATGAAAATGACGGAAATGTCCCCATACCACAATCAAATCCATTTTTTGTAATACTTGCCTTTAAGAATTCGAGAAACCAAGGAGTTCGGGTTATTCCAAATTCGCCAAGCTTGTTTTCCGAGCTAGCCTTAATTGAAACGGCCAATGTCATGAAAACCAAGCCCCTCCTGTTCTTTTGGTTTACATAAATTTTCCCAAGCAACCCAGGGAATCTTCCTCTTCTTATCCCCTTTGCTCCACCAAAACTCGATAATCGCACTCGTAATTCGTTCACAAAGACCTTTTGGTAGCCAAAAAACTGACATTGCATATACTGGGAGAGCTAGTGCAACCGACTTTATCAAAACTTCTTTGTCCCCCATCGACAAAGTTTTGGAGTACCACCCCTGTAACCCTCCTTCTAATTTCTCCTTGATAAAATTTAGTAGATCTTTTTTTTGATTCCTGAAAACATTTAGGAAGTCCAAGATATGACCCTTCTCCTCCTTCCTTCTCAATCCCCAGAACCCTTTTTACCGCTTGTTTGTGTCATCTATTATTATTTTTTTCCAAAAATGGTGAGGATTTCGCGTCCCCATAAAGTTTCAGATCTTTCATATTTTCCTCACTATCCTTGATAGAAGCTTCACACAACAATAAGCTATTGTCAGCAAATAACAAATGGTGAACCGAAGGGCTACCTGTGGCTAGCTTAATACCATGTAAATTCCCTAAAGATTCAGCTCTGTTCAAAACATGTACCGAGGCCTCTGCACATAAAATGAAAAGAAAAGGGGATAGAGGATCTCCTTGATGTATTCCTATTTCCGGTTTAATAAAACCATGGGAGCGTCCATTAAGTAGTACCGAAAAATTGACAGTAGTAATGCATGACATTATCCTAACGACTCATTTATGATCAAATCCCATTTTTTTCTAGTAATACCTCAAGGAAGTTCCATTTTACCCGGTCGTAGGCTTTAGACATATCTGTCTTTATAGCCATACTTTCTCTACCAATCTTATCATTTGTCCGTAGCCCATGTACTAATTCATGTGCTATAATGATATTGTTGGTAATTAATCTGCCTTCAACAAAAGCCCATTGTGTTTCTGATATTATATTAGGCATAATAACCTTCAAACGTTCACATGAGTTACGTGAAATAATCTTATATTGGACATTACAAAGACTAATGGGTCGCATATCCTTCATCTCCGTAGGATGTAAAATTTTTGGTAATAGGAATAACTGTGTATGATTCCACCCAGAAGGAATAATGGCTGTTTTAAAAAAACCTTGAACATCATCAATAATTTTCTGACCCACAATGTGCCAATATTTTTGGTAGAAAAAACCGATAAGACCATCTTCACCAGGAGCACTACTACTTTTAATACCAAAAGTTTCCTTCTTGATTTCTTCAGAAGAGACTTCTCTGATTAATGATATATTCATCTCAGAAGTAACCCTGCTTTCAAAACCATCGAACAAAGTTTCTAAATCACTTGGGTTGGAACTGGTACTGAAATATTCAGTAGCAATATGTCCTTTAGACCCCTCCGAATAATTTTCATTACCAAAAATATCTTTAAGCATCAGAATCTTATTTCTTATGTTTTCCCTTTAACCACATTATGAAAATAAGTTGTATTTCTACCCCCTTCCCGTAGCCATTCTTCTCTACTTTTTTTCCTCCAAAAAATTTTCTCTTCTCTATAAGCCATTGCCAAACCCTGCCTTAATCTCCGTAACAAACCATAAATAGGGAATTGTTTTGAGCTTTCCTTATCCAAATCAATTTTCAACCGTTCTATCCTTGTTTTTGAATTCCAATCATTCGTTTTTTTTAAGTTTGGACAATTCCGACCGACATCGAACAATACGATCAAGAACACTAAGATTCGAGTTAACGTTATCTACGTCCCATCCTCGAATAATGGCTTCATCTACGTTATTTTTACCATACAAACGTCTATCAAAATAAAACCGTCCCCTTTGCAAATTCTCAGGTTCTAGGGAAAAATCGACACGTAGGGGTCGATCAGAAGGCCACATACTCATATAGTCCGTAGACGATTGTGGAAATAGGCGAAACCACTCATCATTACCAAAGCTCGTATCTAGCCGGCATTGTATCCAATTATGATCCCTCCTACCTGACCATGAAAGAGTATTCCCGTGGTCTTCATTTCCCGAATTTTACATGCCTCAGCCATATTCCGAAA